ATAAGAGTTTATGCTATACTTGTTTGACATACCATTAGTGGATCCTCTAACCTTAACATTTACTGTTATCGTTGTTTAATCCTTATATTAATATTCTATCTCAAAGTTCTCATCATTTTCTTCTTCTTATCATTCTTCTTCTTTTTCTTTATTATTATTAAGTTATGAGAACCAACGATAGCTAAGAATGTACGCACAATAGTCATTTTGACAGCTGGAGCAAATGTCTCTTTATAGTCCATATTCTTGAAGATATCAAGAGCCATTAAACAAAGTTTTGCACCTGTCCTAAGAACCATTAGGTTTAACACTATACACCCACTTGCCCTCAATTTTTTAACACTCCTGCATTTGGGAGAAGATATCAATCTTTTAGTCGTGTCAGACATCAATACACTATCGAAATAATTCTTTAGACACATCAAGTAGCTATCCAAAAATACTTTTTATACCTACTTCAATATGATACTAAAATAGTCACCACTTCTATCTAAATCAGCCACTATTTTTACATTTAACAAGTTACTAAATAGACATTATTAATATCATTAATAGTTTGTCAAACAATCACCATTTTCTTTATTGTAATAACTTAATTTTAGGTTTCCCAAAAAAATCATCTTTTTCTTTCTAAAAACAAATGAAAATTGAAAGAATTGTAACTTGGCAAAAAAAAAAACAAGTTGAGAAGAGTTTTAAGCACGTAGAGGAACCAAATTGAGATTTTAGACAATAAGAAGCATAATTGTACCCCCAACAAACCTAAGATTGAAAGAAAACACAAATTCAAGGTTAAATTAAATGATTATTAGATGAATTAGCATAGAAATTAAGTTTACAAACTTAATTAGACTTTTAATAAGTCAATTTGATTTAATCATGGGCCTAATTAAAGGTTTGATTAAGTTTAAGAATTAATCGCGGTCAAATTGAAATTTTAATTAAGTGCACGGACTTAATTGGATTTTTAATAGGTTAGATTAATTTTATTAGAGACTGAATTGGTGGAAACTTATGTTTGGAAGCATAATTTAGGCTTAATTGAGAATATTAAAATTTTAGGGGAACATATTTAATTTTTCCAAGCTTAATTGGCTTAAATTAAGGATAAAATTGCAAGAAAAATTAAAATTTAGGGGTCAATTAATGATAAAATTAAAGAAATTAAAAACCAATGATTTTTTTACAAAAAGCATGAGAATTTAGAGATCCAATTCAATTGGAAATACTAGTGAAAATAAAGGAATTAAAAGTTTGAAGGTCAATTAAGAATGAAATTAAAAATATCTAAGATTGCAGATGCAATTAAGTTGAAAAACATGTTAAAATTAGAGTGTCCTTTTTAAAATCTTGCAAGGAAAAAATTAAATTAATTCTTGAAATCATAATTCAATTAAGGAATTAATTGATTAAACTTAAAAATTAAAGGCTGAAATTAAAAAAGAAAAAAGAATTTATGACATGATTTAGTATAAAAGTCTTAAAACAACGTTGTTTCATTTAAAAGAAACATTGTGTTTTGACCAAAACAATGTTATTTTCATCAGTGATTAGTACTTAAAGGTGCATTCTCATTAAGGATTTATGTCATCATATTTCATCTAAAGTATCATTAAATTCTCTAACAAAAGTATGTTTTATATTAGCAAGTCTAAAAATATAATATACATTTAATTCATGGTAAATGTTCATCCTAAATGCAGATTTATCACATAAATAAAAAGA